CAACGCGGCAGATCAGCGTGCACGTTCCATGAATGGAAGATCAAAGAATCGCCCAACTGCGACTGTGAAGTCCAAACCATCAAGTACATCAACGATGAATGCTCCATCCACGCACATCCTGGCGGTATCGCTGAAATCCACACTGCGTCAACCACCTCATTGGACTGGGTGAGCAACCATTGCATTCATTTCTGACGATCATTAAGAAAGAAAAACTGTTGCTTGTCACAATGCCACACGAGAGAGAGGAGACTGCAGGCGCTGCCAGCAGCTCGAGCAGGGGCCATATTCACACCTGTGCATGACCATCAGCGGAACTCGCTGACATGGGACACAAAACAAAAGTGACAAAGGAGTTACATTAAATTCAGGGACGACATTGGCAGTGACGCACAAGCATACAATATAAGTCTTGGAAAAAATATACATTGTACGCCACTAATCTCTTGGATTATAGCCCTGCAAAGGGGTAATGGCATGGAACGTTAGAACATCATAACACATTTTGAAGTGCCTAATAATATAAAAAATATATCATAGGCTAAAATCTGAAGGGACCATATCCAAAAATGTTAGCTTATTATTGTGTTCAAGAATGTAACATAGCGACTTGTAAATGGAAGCAGGGCTGTAAGTAGGAGACAAGCGTTACATCGCTGGGTCGTGGGAGACGGTGTCGGCTTGGGGAGGCCTTCATCCAACTGTAGATTGACCATGGCTGATGACGATTAATCTAAAACAATGGATTCATACGAGTGCAATTTGATGTGTGCCTTACGCAATAATCAATATTAACCGATGCATCTTTATCCCCCCCCCCCCACCCATCAGTGATAAACATGGCATGTTTTTCGCTCTCACAAAACACACAAATAAAGATCGTGCAATTGAGCATTTATTGTAAACACCAAGAAGGCACAATGCATTTAACAACTCGCAAAGTATTACTCTATCGGGGAATTACAGGCAGTTTACCGTTCGTAAAAAAAAAAGTAACTTTCCTTTTTACCCCAAGCCTAAGAATGTGAAGCATATCAATCTCACTTGCAGGTGCAGGATGCGCCAAACTACTGTAAACCCGCATTTCAATTAGTGCCTCTTCGTTTGAAATGTCACCAGGAGGCCTCATCAGCCTGCCACTCAATTTCACAGCGTCGTCGAGTGTCCAAATAAACCGTGACACTACTGCCAAGCCCGTTCGCTATACAGTTTACCCACATCACTAAACAACGTAGAATACCGTTTTATGTTGGAAACAAGTTAACTCTTGCATATTTCCAGGGTAACCAAGTCCTGGTAAATTTTACAAAACCCTGGCATTTTTACTTTTAACACTGCATTCTTCACGAATTACACCCGTTTCTGGTAACTTAAATTCGAATGTACGTTATTTTACCCAAGAAAAATATCAGACTATTGGTCCTCCTGCATTGGCAAGTTTGGCAAACTCCATTAATCAGTGTTTTGTATGTGGGAGAAACCCCGTGTATACACGGGGATAAACACTCTAAACCCTGCATGGATTGATTCAAACCATAGACACGCAATCCAGTGAGTGGACCAAATCCATCTGTGGACTGAACCCACCGATTTACAGAGACTCCTCTACTTACTAACGAGGTCTGTCCGCAAGTCCAACTTGACTCATGTCTATTACAAACATGTTACACGGCATGTACACTCAACAGGGCAATGGCTTTAAGTTGTATAATCTGCTGCAGATGCCACTGGTTCACAATGCTTTATGTCCACTTGAGCTTCCATTGTAATAGTGCGCCTCTTCTGACGACCACCCTCAATACTATAACCACTTTAACTCTTCTGAGGCATGGGGGTTGATAACGTTCGTGAAAAGTAGAGAACGTCGTAGTGAACCGCACGGCAACAACAAAACAATGGCAGCGGCCCAGGCAGAAATGCTGGGAATGCTGGGTAATGACACCGTGACAAACACCACCATATATCTCGCGGCGGTTGAACTTACGACTCTCGGTCCGAACAGGCAACCAGACACAGGGACAGGTTTGTTCGCATCTCTGGAAGTTCGTAAGTAGAGGAGTCCCTGTATTAACATCTCCTGGCACACCTTGTAAAGTAGTTTTCATTTACCTTCTCTTGCATTGATCTAAGGGACAATTTTTTTCTTATCAAACAACAGATATTCGAATATTTAATTTCTTCACACACAAATGGCACATTTGCACGATGCTCGTTTACAAAGCCCTGTTATTCCCCACTAATGAGGTGTGAAATCAGAGACTCTGGAACATTTAGCTGCCACATTCGAACAAGAATGGCAAGAACACTACGCCTACAAGGGCTTGAAATAGGACGTCTCACGGGAATGTTTCTCAGCATTCATGATACGTTTCAAAAAATATCATTGGGGGTGCCACCGTGCATTCTGCGCCCTCCACATCAACCAAACGGCAGCCAAACTCTGGGCCGAGTGACACAGACGTACCATTAATTCTGCGCACTAAGTCACAAACGTAATCCTGGCATCGGTTTACAACTCATCGTGCCATCTCACAGGCTGGGCTGACTGACGGCTGGAAGATGTATTTCTATTTGTTTTGTTTGAGTTGCCGTTCAAGCTCGGCTGAATTACCTGCGACAAAATATAACAGTTGCCTCCCACCTCGCTGTGCTCCACTGTGGTTGCAATCCCCCCCATGTAAGGTCCAAACCCACAACTGGGGCACGATCGCTCATGCGTGCACAAGCACGGGCTCTTATCATCACGGGTTTAAAGGAGCCTAGACCTGCAAGCAAATGGCATGTGCTAGCACGTGCATGTGGGTCTGCGTGTACGTCTCTGTGTTCGTGTGTGTATGCAGGTATATGCGCTTATAAAGACAAAGATCACCTGTATATTTTAGATAGGCTGAGAGCACCTATGAAGACTGGCACTACACGTGAGTAGGAGGTGTAGCCAGCACCATGCTCAGCTGCCTTTGTCTCCCCAGTGCTGACGTTTACACACAGTACCAGGTTCAAAGGCCAAGTTGGCCGAGGAGAGGCCCAGGACTGGTTCACATTTGCAAATTATATTAACCGTGACTGGGATTCACTCAGCCTGCCGGGTTCATAGTGCACTGCTAGCCACTACGCCACCGCTCCCCCCACCTCCCCCACTGCATGCTGAGGCGCATGCGCGTGTCTGCGTGCGGGTGCGAGCATGTGTGCGGGTGTGTACGTGCGGGTGTGAGCACGTGTGCGGGTGTGTACGTGCGGGTGTGAGCACGTGTGTGGGGGTGTACGTGCGGGTGTGAGCACGTGTGCGGGTGTGTACGTGCGGGTGTGAGCACGTGTGTGGGTGTGTACGTGCGGGTGTGAGCACGTGTGTGGGTGTGTACGTGCGGGTGTGAGCACGTGTGTGGGGTTGTACGTGCGGGTGTGAGCACGTGTGGGTGTGTACGTGCGGGTGTGAGCACGTGTGTGCGGGTGTGTACGTGCGGGTGTGAGCACGTGTGCGGGTGTGTACGTGCGGGTGTGAGCACGTGTGTGGGGGTGTACGTGCGGGTGTGAGCACGTGTGCGGGTGTGTACGTGCGGGTGTGAGCACGTGTGTGGGTGTGTACGTGCGGGTGTGAGCACGTGTGTGGGTGTGTACGTGCGGGTGTGAGCACGTGTGTGAGTGTGTACGTGCGGGTGTGAGCACGTGTGTGGGTGTGTACGTGCGGGTGTGAGCACGTGTGTGGGTGTGTACGTGCGGGTGTGAGCACGTGTGTGGGGTTGTACGTGCGGGTGTGAGCACGTGTGTGGGTGTGTACGTGCGGGTGTGAGCACGTGTGTGGGGTTGTACGTGCGGGTGTGAGCACGTGTGGGTGTGTACGTGCGGGTGTGAGCACGTGTGTGGGTGTGTACGTGCGGGTGTGAGCACGTGTGTGCGGGTGTGTAAGTGCGGGTGTGAGCACGTGTGTGGGGGTGTACATGCGGGTGTGAGCACGTGTGTGGGAGTGTACGTGCGGGTGTGAGCATGTGTGTGGGGGTGTACGTGCGGGTGTGAGCACGTGTGTGGGTGTGTACGTGCGGGTGTGAGCACGTGTGTGTGGGTGTGTACGTGCGGGTGTGAGCACGTGTGTGCGGGTGTGTACGTGCAGGTGTGAGCACGTGTGCGGGTGTGTACGTGCGGGTGTGTACGTGCGGGTGTGAGCACGTGTGTGAGCACGTGTGTGGGTGTGAACGTGCGGGTGTGAGCATGTGTGCAGGGGTGTACGTGCGGGTGTGAGCATGTGTGCGGGTGTGTACGTGCGGGTGTGAGCACGTGTGTAGGGGTGTACGTGCGGGTGTGAGCACGTGTGTGGGTGTGTATGTGCGGGTGTGAGCACGTGTGTAGGGGTGTACGTGCGGGTGTGAGCACGTGTGTGGGTGTGTACGTGCGGGTGTGAGCACGTGTGCGGGTGTGTACGTGCGGGTGTGAGCACGTGTAGGGGTGTACGTGCGGGTGTGAGCACGTGTGTGGGTGTGTACGTGCGGGTGTGAGCACGTGTGCGGGTGTGTACGTGCGGGTGTGAGCACGTGTAGGGGTGTACGTGCGGGTGTGAGCACGTGTGTGGGTGTGTACGTGCGGGTGTGAGCACGTGTGCGGGTGTGAGCACGTGTGCGGGTGTGTACGTGCGGGTGTGAGCACGTGTGCGGGTGTGTACGTGCGGGTGTGAGCACGTGTGCGGGTGTGAGCACGTGTGCGGGTGTGTACGTGCGGGTGTGAGCACGTGTGCGGGTGTGTACGTGCGGGTGTGAGCACGTGTGTAGGGGTGTACGTGCGGGTGTGAGCACGTGTGTGCAGGGGTGTAGGTGCGGGTGTGAGCACGTGTAGGGGTGTACGTGCGGGTGTGAGCACATGTGTAGGGGTGTACGTGCGGGTGTGAGCATGTGTGTAGGGGTGTACGTGCGGGTGTGAGCACGTGTGTAGGGGTGTACGTGCGGGTGTGAGCACGTGTGCGGGTGTGTACGTGCGGGTGTGAGCACGTGTGCGGGTGTGTACGTGCGGGTGTGAGCACGTGTGTAAGGGTGTACGTGCGGGTGTGAGCACGTGTGTGCGGGTGTGTACGTGCGGGTGTGAGCACGTGTGTGGGTGTGTACGTGCGGGTGTGAGCACGTGTGCGGGTGTGTACGTGCGCTGGGTGGTGGCATCAGTGGTGGAAGAGGCGCAGGTTGGTGTGCGCCAGCGCTATGCCGTGCTTGTCGCACGCCTCCACGATCAGCTGATCTGCGGTGGATCCAGACGGCGCCGCTATGAACTGCACGCCGCTCTGCCGTGACGAGACACGCGTGCATGAAGATGGAACATTTAGTATTTTCGCCTTGGAACATTTTTGTTACCCTGTCCCTTCCTTTTATTATTTTAAAATTAATTCTCGTTAACAAATTTAAACGCTGTTGCATGTAATGAAGGTGTAAAAACCACTGATGTCACGAGAGCATATCTTGGTCGTCAATGTTAAGTCGACGACGTTTCAGGCAATTGCCCTTTTTGTTATTAATTACGGCCAATGCCCAAAATGTCGGCTTTTATATTTACTTTCTTTATTTTTAAGGCCACAGCAGCATTGACGAATGCGTTAAGTGTTTTGTTATTTGTGCAGTCCACTCCTAACGCAGCGTCACTAAACACTTAATTTTATGTTGATTCGGGACAGGAGAGACATGGCGGGGATGAAGGAGAAGAACTCTGTGCTAAATCAAGACATTCAGGTCGATAAAGACGGCCATAGGGACAGCAGATGAGCAGCGGATGAGCAGCCTCCCATTGGAGTGGACGACAAATCGGTATTCAACTTCATACAAGTCTCCTGCAGGGCGCTACCATCGAGGGGTGGACACGCGCCGACATGACTCCCCTCCCTCCGCTACCTGCTTGGCGCGATCCACGTTGTCGCAGAACGGGAAGAAAGCGTCGGAGCTCAGGGCGACGCCCTCGAGGCGACCAATCCAGTCCTTCCGCTCGGCCTCCGTGAAGGCCTCGGGGACCTCCTCAAAGAGGGCCTGCCAAGTGGCGAGGTCCACGTCCTGTGGGCCACGGGGAGAAGGTAGTGTGTCCAGCGTTGGGAGAGTGTAAAAGGTTAAGGTGCAGTCGTGCAATTCCCTGCTCACGACACTGCTGGTGGAAGGGCCTTCATTTAAACGAGCTACAGAGAGCCCCTCAAAAGGGTTTTTGGCCTATTCTTTCACGCTGGCCAGGAATCTTGGAAGAGATAGGAGTAACCACACTTTGCCAGGGGCTCCTCATTCTGTCTCTCAGTGTTCTATCAGCAACAACGATGACATTTTCCACTAACCAGATAACGACTACGATTATAACAATGAACACGACGACGAATACGACCATGACGGCAATGGAAATGCCGCCGACCACGACGGACGACGCGGCCCCGCCGCCGGCGCCGGCACGCCAACGCCTCTGCACTCCGCCGCCCCCCGCACCTGCCCCACGGTGCCGGAGACGAACACGTCGATGGCGTTGGAGACTTCGGCGCGTTTCACGGCGGCGCGGAAGCGCAGGCCGAGGACACGCGGGTGCTGCCGCAGCCACCAGTGGTTGGCCTTGTCGCCGGCCAGGCGCGTGCAGTGGATGCGCGACTGCTGCCCGGACCCGATGCCGATCACCTGCAGAGGTAGCGCGCCCAACATCAACGTTGGTACCGGTAACCGGTTACGGATCGTTGCTGCTAATTGTGCTGGTTTAACCCAGGGAGAGGCTCACGGAGTGTCATGCTTCTTTCGCAGGAGGTCCCTGCCAAGTTTTCGTAGTTGGGGGCGATATTGGTGCTGTGTGCGATCCTGACTGAGTAGTCTGTCGGTAATGTTTCAGCATTGGGATGTGATGTTGTGGGGCCAATAACGGTAACATTCTGTGTTTTTTAACCGAGGGAGGAAACCGGTGAACGCCGAGGAAACCCATGTAGAAGGAGGGGAGAACAAACACCCGACAGAAAAAGGCACCCAAGTCGGAAAGGAACACAGGAACTGCTTTGCTCCGAGGCACGGAGTGTTACCACTGCGCCACCCTGCTGCCACCAACTCACGAGGCTCAATGATTCACCCACACCCCCATCACTGTCGGTTTGAGCGTTGTGTTTGAGCGTCATGATCATTCAAGAAGTAACTTTTCTTTTTGAAAGATTAACATTGCTGAGAATAGGTTTTCCCCTTTTTTCTGGCAACAAAACAGGTGTTAAGATGTGAAAACACCAAATTGAAACCTTTTACAAGGAATCATGTCTGCATTAACCACAACACTTGTGGTCAGAATGGCAACAAAAAACACACTGATAATATATGCAGACATGATCCCTTGTAAAAGGTTTCATTTTGGTGTTTTAACATCTTAACACCTGTTTTGTTGCCAGAAAAAAGAGGAAAAACTATTCTCATCTTTTGGTACTGGCAAAGGAGGTCCCCATGATGTAGATGCTCACCGGAGCCCTCATTACTCTGATAGTGCATTGTCTTTGTGCTGTACGCCTTTTGGCATCCTATGGTCTAACACCATTTTGAGACGAGGCTCAAAAAGAAAGCTGTCTCTGGTGTGGACCAATAAGTTTCAAAGACAATGCATATATTATCAGACCACGTTTTTTGTTTGCATTCTGACCACAAGTATTGCGGTTAATGCAGACATGATTCCTTGTAAAAGATTTTTGTTTGGTGTTTTAACATATTAACATTGCTGTTTACAATTTCGTTGGCAGTGTGCAAATTACAATATTACATTTTAACACTGTCACGTGAACCTATTACATACAACAAACATATGGAAAAAATAATATTTTTTTAATAAACTCGATTCACCGCATGTACGCGTGATCCCACCTGTCCGTTCTTGGCGTAGCAGACAGAGTTGGACTGCGTGTACTTCACAGCGACCGACGCCACAATCAGATCGCGGACGGCTTCCTCGGGCAGCTGAGCGGGCAACAACAATGGGACGTCGCAGGCCGGGTCAGGGCACGGCACAACAGCACCACGCACCGCGGCGTGGGGCTGTGGGCAGGTCACATTGAACTGCGATCGCGACGAGTGTCGCGTTACAGCGCCGGGTTGCCGCGGTCGTGCCGTGCGTCTCTCCCATGCGCAGGGGTCGGCAACCAAATTAATAAGCACCACCATTTATTTCGAATTCATAAAAAAAGCTCTAGATTTCAAGAGCCGCAATACATGTGGTGAATACGAGACGGCGGTCCTTAATAAGTAACGTCACGAATCGGCCCGCAAAGAGCTGCATGCGGCTCCGGAGCCGTAGGTTGCCAACCCCTGCCCTTGCATGTTCGGGTTGAACCGCGTGTAGCTTGGCACGATCCGGTGTCGCTACGCGGTGCTGGGAGCTCACTCAGGATTTGGAGAAAAAAAAGAAAAAAAATAGAGCAGCTCGCAATTTTGCGTCAATGAAGCAGAAACGCCAGCAGCACCAGCAGCCAGCAATGCTCGACAGTTCGGACAAATCACGCCAAACAACACGTGGTACGACCCCAAAACACAGCAGAGGGCGGCAGGGTTCCGCCGACACCACGTCAGAAATTGGTGGTGGGAGTGGGGGCACCACCTCCTTGCGAGCCGTGACCACGTTGGAGAAGAGCGTGCGGTCGATGACGGCGTCGTTGCGCTTCTGCTGCAGCTGCAGGCCGAAGACGGTGCGCGACTCCTGCGGCTCCGGCTCGTACGCAGCGTCCATCTGGCCGCCAGTGCGAGAGAGTTGAAATGCAAACGATCGTCCCGACCGAGAATACAGTCATCACAAGCGCTCGACTCTGTCTGATATATGGAGACACAGTGCTGTATGATATATTGAGAGTTTAGAATAACATTTAAACGCACTTAAGTGAGCACTTCAATAAGGGAAAACATTGCAGGATGATCATCAGCCATGATCTATCGATTGCTGGATGAATCCTTCTCCAAGCCGTTGGCATCATCGTCATCATCTCTCCCGGTCTCACGATGTCACAAGCTATCTCGCCAAATCCATCGCTCCGTCTCCACCGTGGATGTTCCCCTTTGGCTACCACTCCACCGTTTGTGGTCTCGGTGACCACCCATCAACCCCTTCTACCAGGAAAGGCCCACCGAGCTACATAGCTCTTTTTCAGAAGCAACCTGGCCACAAATGATAGCTCAACGAAGTGGCTTATCACGTGGAATTTTATAGCAGCTAAGCCTACTTATTCTATGCCTAAGCCTACTTACTTTTCAACCCAATCAATCTGACGACTCTTAAACGTCGTGACGCCGACGTGTAACACCAAGTTAACCTGCACAATCTCTTGTGAGCCCCCCACCCCCCCCATCTCATAACCGTGTCAGCCTCTGTGCCTGGGCTCTCAGGAAGGCGAGGGCGGAGTTTCCGTGTCGAGGTTTTCGGGAGTGCGGTCCCTCTCCCGACGGACACACCTGCAGCACGCAGTAATTCCCATTCTTCTTCTTGGCCAGGATCTTCAACGCTTCCTCTTCGTATCCTGGCGCCACGATGCCGTCCGACACCTGAGCGAGACGAGGCGGCGCGCGCGAGAGGGGGAGCAGAGTTACTCCGGAGTGGGGCCGACTCGCGGCACATTGAATGCGGTTACGCAGACGGTTACTTTGCGGTTCTCCTGAAACAAAAGAACAGCCAACGCTTTCCAAACGAACAAACGAGTTGGGAATGTTCCATTACTTGACGGGAGGTAAATTTGTATTACTTGGCTGTTTCTCGTTTTACTAAAATCAACCCGGATAAACGCGAATCATTTATCCTGTAAAAAATCTGTGAATTTGCGAGGATAAAACCCCGACACAAATCACCTGCTTGATGAGCATCTCTCTGAGACGATTCTGCCTTTAAATCAACCAAACATTTTAAGAGTTTCTCCTCGTCACAGATTACTAGGACCCCTTTAAAACTGGCTGCCCCCCCCCCCCACTCCTGCCACATTCCTCCTCCCGAAGGCAGGAAACTCCCTCAATTTAGTTGAGTAATCAAACCGAGAATTGGGCAAGGAATCAATTCGTTAATGTTTACATTCACAAGACACTCGCTTAAATTCCCCAGAAACTGACAGCGCCTTACATCACACAGCTCATGTCAAAAATTCGGAGACCCCCAGTGGCAGCTGTCCCTGTGTGTCATGCGACTCAGAACCGGCATGCAAGGTGGCATTAGTCAGTAGGTGACGATTACTTGGTGTAATCCCAATTTAGTCATTTACAGGCAATTTCTTTTATTTGCCAAGTTTGGCCGCTGGCACACAAAGACGCACTCCTCTCAAATGACATCACGGGATCTTTAACGTCCGCTGTGAAAGAGACGGCGCATAGCACTTTATGGTTAATACACCCACCACAGTAATAACCAGGGTGACCTGCCAGATTCTAACCACGAAAGTCTTGCAAACAAGCACCAAAATAAAGCGCTCCCGCGTGCCCACCGCATCACCGCCCAGGGAATGGGAGGCCCCGGCACAGGTCTCACCTCGCGAGAGATGATCTTGGCAGTCGGCACGTCGCACACGTCCGAGAGAGCGATGAAATCGCCGAATGATGACATGCGGTCAGCGCCTACGAACATCCACGGCAAGGATTTTAATGGTTCACCGTTTCCCCGAGATAAAGCAGTGTTTATTGGAAGCACAGTTCTAATTGTTATGGAGTCACTGTCAAACTATTGCTCTCCAAGTGAATAATCTATCAACCAATGGCAATTGGAGCGAAATCAGGCGTGACATGGATCCTGCCACATTATGGGTCCATTTAAACCGAGACTTGCCAGGACAATATCTTTGGAGTGCCACGGTGGCTAGGAAATGTTAACTATCTTGCGTGGTATGCTGGTCGTGTGTTCGATCCAAACCCTGACACCTGTTCATCTGGAGTGTGCATGTCTCTCTCCCCGTGGTCACGTGGATTTTTATCCGGGTCTTCTGGTTTTTCTTTCCACATTTAGAATCATCATGTGTTTAGAGTATTTGGCTGCTATAAATTTCGATGTGATAAGCCACTTCGTTGAGCTATAATTTGTGGCCAGGTCACTTCTGTAAAAGAGCAGATGGCCTGATCTGAAAAAATAAAAATAGTAGCAAAATAATTTTCTGCTTTTAAACACTATCTAGCCAAGCTTGAGTGTTTACTCCATTAGCCTCTAAACCTCCCTATACCCCTCACCCCTGTGATACGCCACGCGAATTTCTCCCCTCATCCCCCGTGACCTCTCACCCCGGGCGCGGGCGTACGCGGTCGCCAGAGGGCTCAGGCTACCGGCAATATCCTGCACCATGCACACGCGCGCCTCCTCCTCGCTCAGCGGCACGGCCACCGCTGCACCTGCACGGCAGCAACACGCCCATTAGCCAACAACACAAATCGTAACAGTACAGGTCGATAGGAGTACTGGTAGATAAGAGTAGTCGTAGATAACAGTGCAGGAAGGAGTATAGGTAGAAAGGCCAAAGGGAATTATGAGAGCGACGATGAAATATGAGACAGAATCAGGCCTGGCAGCCACCGCTGGTTCTCCAGCACCACCCGGCTGAGAAGCGGCAGGTGTTGCCGTCACTCAGCCGTGATGTGCGCCAGGCGCCACCGCGCGCTCGTTCCTTCGCACCGGCAGGGCTGACGTGCTTAAAAGAGGCAGCCGCCGGGAGAGCCAGCGCCGTCTTGAGCTCCCGCACAAGCTGCCACGCGTTGAGAGCGTCGCACAGGTTGATGAACCCCGGGGAGCCGTTGAGCACTGCGCCACGCACAAACGCGCACGCAGGCGGGGACACGCACGTGGGGACACGCACGCACGTGGGAACACGCATGCCACTCAGCGCATCTATGCTGCAACGCGCACCAGCAGCTAAACTCTACCCCAACGGCTGTCAGTGTTCTTTGTGGCAATCATGGCGTATCGCAGATTGAGGATGAAGTGTTTCGCTGGTACATTTATGTCGATTCAATACTCTGAGTCGATCCAATGACCTGTCAACATTCAGTCACAATTCAGCAGAGGGTAGTGCAACAAATACAATTGTTGTACTGCACTTTCTATGTTCCCCGCCTTCGCCAAACCACTCTGACCAGCGTGGCTGAAGCACGATCAAATAACTCCCATGGCCCTCAAGAGCGCGGCGAGGCCCTCATCCATCAGTGGATCGACTAAACCGCCGCTGTACACGTACACATACACACGGTAAGAAACAATGCTTGTAATTTAATGCTACTCCAGCCGGCACCAGTGACTGAACCAGTGCGTGCGAGACCCGCCGGAGAGAAAGACCGAGAGGGGCCCGCGACTCGTCCACGGGTGGACTGCTGCGGCACGGACCGGTGAGGGGGAGGCGGGGCCCCGTGGTGTAGATCTGCGCCGGCGCTTGGTGGGGGTTCATGCCGTAGCGCAGCGGCAGCTGGGCCGCGCCGCGCCCAAACTCGCGGCGGAAGTAGTCGGCGATGGCGGCGTCGTAGCGCGCGGTGTGCTCAAACGCCTGCGCAGCAACGCGGGGCGGAGGGGCGGGGTGGGCGGAGGGAGACGGCGGGAGTGAGCAGCGCATGTAACGATTCGTCTAATCAAAATTTTCAAGCCGGATAAGTTAGATGAGAGAGAGCAGAGAAGCGCCCCGCTAGTTACGTGGCGCCGCCTCGCCGCACCGTGCGAAAGTCGACCCAGTGTCCCACGCTTGTTTCCCAGCGTGAATCGGCGACGTGCTTCTGACCGCATGCGTTCCTCGCCGCTTAGAACGAACTCCAACGGCAAAACGGCCTCCGCTCCGTCTCACCTTGAGCGCCAGGCATCGCCGCGTCTCGGGCAAGCTGTCCCGCTCTGCCGACGCCTCCATCTCTGCGGCGACAGTGCCGTAGTCCGCTGGATCGCACAGCACCGTGACGCGCTCGTGGTTCTTGGCGGCCGCGCGCAGCAGCGTGACTCCGCCTGCGGGGGAGATTGGCGACGCGGCATTCACCGTACACGGTAACCCGTCAGCGAGGCCGAATCCTGGAAAGGATTTTTGAATGCCTCCGGCAGGCCACACGTCAGCACACGCCTGCCGGTTGCTCCGGGCACCGCCGCAAGACGCCCTGCTAGGGTTGTTAATGCCGGTTTTCACGTTAACGATAACCACGTGCAAAACTAAAGAAACGATTGTCGGTTTACCAACATTCACCAACCAGCATCGGCCAGTGCGGTGGAATATAGTTAGATAAGCCCCATTGTGGACACGGCATGGTGAAGTCTACATTCGGCAGTAGATTAGCAAAAGGCTGCAAGCTCTATGTAAATATATTTGGTACGCAACGAGTTGTCAGGAGACCAATCACACTGCAACGCGCCGGGCAGTTTGAACGTCCGCACGTGTTGGCCAATCAAATAAATCATCACTTGAACCGAAACTTGATTCCACGAATTTTGGCATCGATAATGGATCCGTAAATGATTCATGTCATAAACTATTGTCAATTACCGATCCTACCCCATGACACCGAGGTATCAAATGAAATGAATGTTCACGGAGAAATCATGTTACCGATGTCGATCTGCTCCACGGCGTCGGGCACGGTGACGCCTGGCGTCGAGACGGTTTTAATGAACGGGTAGAGGTTGCACACCACCACCCTGGTAACAAGATGGAAACAACACGGAAATGAAGAATGCATGCTGCCCGCTGGCTCCGGTAGAACATCCCCGGTGTGAACCACGCACGGTAGCGGATCGTGAGTACGAGCGGTTTAGAGCGTTGATGAAATGATAACCTCTTGGCCACAAACCTCACTTACGTATTCCTATTTCAAAATAAAGCCACATAAAAGTTTTTGTACGTTAGATAGTAAATAGTAATAATTTGTTTTAAAGGGATCATCACTGAATAGATAAACAAACACATATCACTGTACTCTATTGGTCGTGCCTTCTGTGTTAACTGTAACCCATTGTGGGAGGACAGATTGGTAATAGCCTGACAATTATACAAGAGGTCAACTAAGTCAGGTTCGGCTATCTTCATCCGACTACTAAATTAGGTTATCTAGAAGAATTACTTTTTACTGAATGGTTTTGTGGATATCTTACACTCGAGAGATATATTATTAAATGTACATTTTCAAAGTCACTTATACAAAGACACAAATGGGCCATTGTTTGCCAGCATATTGGACAAAATTTGCCAAATTAAAAAAAATGAAAAAATTTCCCCAATTGGGATTACACGTCCCAACAACACCCCTCACCGGCGGACTAAGAATGCCCACTTGCAGGCCAAGTGCCATCATCATTTGATGCAAAATGATAGCGGTCACTCGGGGTGCCCTTTAAAATGTTTGAGAAAAAATGTGATGCAAGTTTCTCATCACACGTACTAAGCACTCCAGAGATGCACCGGCGCAAAGGATGCTCTATCAGAATTTTATAAATACAAATTTGGACTCATTTCTCTATGGGCTAATGCACAAGTTTTGTGTTTATAATTTTACAAAACCGTTGTGTCGGCCCAGACCTTATCATGCTGAAGCCGTGCTTTTCCAAGTCTGCCTGGTCCCCAGCCGACGAGCGTGCCAGAATCCCTGCAAAACAAACATCACCACGACGACAGAGGAACAGCGCTCTCTCAGTGAACGACGACACACATTAATTCGTGACGTTAACGATGTATCGATTCACAAATTGAAAATTATTCTTTTGCTCAGGGTACGTGGATTGAATCATGCATGTGGCAATTATCATTTATTTTTATTTCTGTATCTGATGTATGCAATTAGTTTTCGTGATGCCCGCAGCCACGAGCAGCGCTACAACAAAGAATCAAATCGCCAGCTTGAATCGTGAAGATTTGTTAAATTACTCGGCTGGGCAAATCTTTACAGGCACAGCGTCAACCCTAGCCACCCCGCCAGGGTGAACGATGGCGACGGCACGGGGAGGCCTTCCATCAAGCAGTGGCTCCATCAGGGCTGACGATGACTGCCGCCGCCGCCGACCATGGTGAAGAGAGGTGGGCTACAGAACGGGCAGTGTGTGTGGGATGCGAACGTCCGAGTGGGCCAAGAAGTTGGAGGACGCGATCACCCCACCTCCGTGCACGGCTGGGTGCAGAGTCTTCACTCGGCCTCCCAGCATCTCGGCAAAACCCGTCACCTCCGCCACGTCCCTGCGCAACCGCACGCACGCACACCATCACCGGGTGCACACGGCCATCATCAACGGGGTTTGTTAAAAATGTATATTTTAAAAAAAATTGCGTTGAAAAAAACGAGAAATAATGGTAACCAGTTTGTTGCACACATTAGAATCGTCCAGCAATTAAGGAATAACAGTTTTACATTTTAATTGAAACAAAAGGAGCTGCCCTGGTGACACAGTGGGCAATTTGCTGGCTTCCCCCACCCATTTACACCCAGCAGTATAAATGGGTAGGCCACAGTTAGTCGATGTCACGTGCGGTGGGGTAAAGTGTGGGTATGTCCACATCTTTCAAGACGTCTCGTCAGCGAGGGACAGTAGACCAAATACCCCTCAGAGCTACCGTCTATCAGAGGCCCCTTCTACCAGCAGTGGTGCTAGTAAGCAATTGCCTTTTGTAATCGCTCCATCTCCTCCATTTGTAGATTTTAAAGTCGATTCTTGTGCTAGTGTCATCGTGAGCCGCGTGTGCGAGATTCCCTTCTTTGCAATTTATTCCAATGAAATGTTACGTTAATCATAATTATTTTTACTGGAAGAATCAGATGAGCTATAAAGCTCTTTTCACAAGATGTCCAGTAGGGGCGGGTCAGAACGTTACAACAACAAACAACAATACTAAGTGAGAAAAAACAAGCAAACAAGATATAACAAAACTAGAGAAACAACACGTGAATTTGGACCTATGGAAGTAATTCCCTTGATATTCAACCATTTGAAAAAAACGTCAAATCAACTTTGCCTTGGCACACAAGTGGCAGTGGCGAGGGCGGACTATTTGGTTTGGGTGTTTTGATTTTTGTGCAATCAGTTACTCATTATATTTAAACACGACTGTCACGGGGTGCCTCCGATAGATCACGACGTAAAGAAAATTGTGCAAATCTCATTATTTTGGAAATTCCATTTTGGGGTGCAGTGGTGGTGCAGTAGTGTTGACAATCAACTCACTCTGCTTTGAAACCCGGTTAAAGCTCATTTTGCAGGCTGAAACCCAGATCTTACACCCAGGGTCTCAACGGTGCGGACTCCGTGTTCTCACCCCACGCCACCCGGGCACCACAAACGCATTCACACTCACTCTGACAACAACCGTATAGCCTTAACAGATTGTTGGGACAAGTGCTGTAAGTGAGCACCTGTGAAAGCCGGAATGGCACATGAGGCGGTGGGTGGCCAGCACCACGCCCAACCAACTTATCTCCCTAGTAGCGATGTTTACACACTGCATCAGGTACTCATTTCAGGCTGTGTCGATCTAGAGGAGGCCCAGAACTGGTTCAGGTAATTGTCACTGGTGTTGGCCGTGGGTGGGAATCGACCTTGGGTTGCCGGGTTCGTAGCACAGTGCGCTAACCGCTCCACTACCACTACACGCACGCACGCACCCACCCCATGTCTAACAGCACTGTCTAGAGGGACACAACCGTGGAGGCGACACACAGGCGATGATACGCACCTGACGGAGAGGCCGGCATCGCGGAGAGCCGTGGCGGTCCCTCCGGAAGCCACCAGGCCGAGCCCGAGAGCGTCCAGCCGAGAGGCCAGGCCCACCAGGCCCTCCTTGTTGGACACGCTGAAGAGCGCTGCGATGAGACAGACGGACGGACGAACATCACCCACCGGGGCCGGCTCCGACCCGTGCCAACGGCAGCGGTGCAGACTCGTGCGAGTGGTGTTGTTGCGGCAAGCAGGTGGTGTGAATCGTGGAGCGTTGGCGTAGCTATAGGGTGCGCAGGCAGTGCAACGGTGGCGTTAGGGGCCCATGGGAAGGAAAGGCCCCCATGCTAGGCTTCGAAGAGTGGATAAAATGCACAGGGGAAGCCCCAAGGTCCACCCCAGCCATTCAAATAGATATTACTGATAGTGTAATAAAACATCGATTTACAGATAATAGATCAATTAAAGATTCTCGATTTGTATGTTTTGTATCATACAGCACTATGAAGCAGAGTTTGATCTTCAGCCATGGCCATCACGAGTGGCGAGCAATATCCATGAAACGGCCCTAGGCTTCCCCCACTCGACCAACCCACACTTCACACTTGGCCAACAACAGTGCCAACTGATGGATGTACTGCACTCTGCCATCAGAATGTGGAAGTCCCACCACTGGCTGATGGCAGACCATGGAAACCAGTGCCGACTGCTCGCTCGTTTGAGCGGTAGCGACATTGATTCTTTAGAATGAATCTGTAACGGCTCACCACCGAATTCATCCCGGCTGCCATGGCTTACTCAGACGCTCCGGCCACAAAGTCCAAGACGCGCCCTCTTCACTGCCCTGCGCACGTATGCTGCATTAGCAAGGGGGCCTCTTAAATGCACAGATCATTCCTTTGTCTCCCGCGACTCCTTGGCGAGTCTAAAGATATCGTGCGTGACACGGGGGAAGAAGAGATGCCTCTGTGAGACGTCTTCACGGCTCAATTGAGCGTGCGCCAAGGGGGGACTTTGTTGAGAAGCACGAGACAAGCTCTCCGCTTGTTAGGGAGCCATTTACAGAAAACTCCAGCCACCCCGTGAAATTCTAATCTCAAAACAACCGGCGAGTCCCAGAACCACTCGACGTCGTCCCTCAAAGACCAGCCTGGCATGCCATCGAGAGAGCGCGAGTGGGCCGTAGTGTGGAGGGGATTGCTACCGATTCTCAATAATTTGTAGCGACATTTACTGCGCACTTAAACTCCCCAACATTTATATGTGCCTTGCATCACATCTCATCGCAATCATTCCAGTATACAGGCTCGGTTGTCTCTGCGTTTAGGCTAGGGGACACCCCGATGGCAGCTGTCCCTATGTGGCACGACGGCGATGCAGCACCGGCCTGCAAGTGAGCCTCAAGATGTTGATGATATTGGTTATTCCAATTAAGTGATTTGAGAGTCCGTATAGTATTTTTGTCAAATTTTTACTATGACGCAGGCGCGATTTTTGAATGCAGGCATAATTCGAACGCAATCAAAACAGTAAAGTCGAACACACGCAGTCAGTGTGGATTATATCGCATGGAATTGGGACCGCATCTCAAAATGCTGGTCAGATACCGACTGGTTTGTGTGCTCTTTGCACAACGCCCGATCTCTTCTCCATCCAAAAAGAACTCCGATATCTGTGCGGTCATCCATGGACAAACGCGGATAATCAAATGTATTTGCCGTCACTTCTGTCCGACTCCCCACATCTGCGAAAAGTCGCGGATGAATTTACCGCACTCCAGGAGAGGCCATTTCCAACAACAGTTCAGAATTCGCTGCCCTCTGTGGATTGTTTGACCATACTTCACCACGCAAGTCGTGCGCACGGCTTGGTCAAAGACGGTGCACGGCTGCAGTACAATAATGGAGTTTCCTGGCCCTATGGCAGCAACAACTACGCCGGTCTTGTTGTGTGCGCGGTGGCCTTCCATCACCAACACGCCAACCGCAGCCTCAAACCAGCTGAGTTTCATACTTCTTGGTTCTTTCGGTAAGGTCACGGAGGTGAAAAAATAAAATAAATAAATATCACGACGTTTTGGGCGCAACACAAGCGCCCGTCATCAGGTGGCACAACCACAACTATTTTATGTTTTCACCTCCGTGACTTTACCGAAAGAGCCAAAGAGTGTGGATCCTTGCAGTCACGGAAACTTCAAATCCACAGCTGAGCTTCCTAGCGACTGCACAACTTGCAAAATTTCTATGCTGCATGTAAACATAGCGATACATTTATAGCAACTCTTTCACGATGCTAACGTTCTCAGACTTAACAGCCATTGGCTGTTAGATCGCATTTTTTTTAATAGAGCAACAAAATGAAAGTTAAGACATTGACATAGTGTGGTCGAAAAGTCCCTATACCCCTCCTCCGCAGCTTTTAATACGATTGTCAAGAGGCAAGGGGTATAGGGAATTCCCGCCCACGCACTGTACATTAATTCTTCGTGATGTCGACTCATTCGTGAAGTCCCAGCGTAAAGTTGAATCATTCACACTGCAGTTACAATCAATGTATGATTTTAAACTAATTCATTCAGCTAATTCATTCATTTCCCTTCACACACTCGGGAACCACGTGGCGACCTCGTGGTGGCCCCACGCACGAACAAAGCGAGACCCGCGCGGCGTCTCGACAAAGTCCCCATCGCCACTCGGCACGGGGGGGAGAGAGAGAAGACGCCGTCTGGCTGACGGTGTCGCATTACCCAGCTCGTTGGGGGCCATGGTTAGCAGCAGCAGCAGCGGCGGCGGCGAGGAGGAGGAGACGAGAAGAGACGGCGAGGTGGAGGAGGTGGAGGAGGATGCCGAGTGGCGGTGGCTCGGGCCCCGGGGTCGCGGATTTCAGGCGACGCCCCTCGCGGCCGCCGCGTGGATTTGGCAGCGAATCGAGAGGCAGCGTCACCACGAGGCAGCAGCAGCAACAACAACAGCAGCAGCAGCCTGTGCCAGGCTAGGTGCACCAGGAGGTCACGGGTCGACTGACTGAGACGAGTGGCCGATGCACCACCTATGCCACCTGCTGTGGCAACTTCAGCATCAATGCCACCAACCAAACACCGCGGTCATCCACGCTGCACAGTATCAATTAATCAATTAATCATGATGCACAGTGGTGGGGGTGGGGGGGTGGTGAGGGGGGGTGGTGGGGGGTGGTGGGGGGTGGTGGGGGGTGAGGGGGGGTGAGGAGGGGTGGTGGGGGGGGGGGGAGGTGTGGGGGGTGAGGGTGACATGTGAGGGTGATTGCGAGCAGCGACCGCAAGGGGGCAGCCGCTCAGCAGCCGCTTCGCCCCATGGCGAGTGGAGAATCTCAGTTGCTGTGGGTGGCGCGCTTAGTGGGTGGCGCACGTGGTGGGTGGCACGCCTGGTGGGTGACGCGCGTGGTGGGTGGCGCGCGTGGTGGGTGGCGCGCTCGGTGGGTGGCGCGCTCGGTGGGTGGCGCGCGTGGTGGGTGGCACGCCTGGTGGGTGGCGCGCGTGGTGGGTGGCGCGCGTGGTGGGTGGCGCGCTCGGTGGGTGGCGCGCGTGGTGGGTGGCGCGGGTGGTGGGTGGCGCGGGTGGTGGGTGGCGCGCGTGGTGGGTGGCGCGGGTGGTGGGTGGCGCGCGTGGTGGGTGGCGCGCGTGGTGGGTGGCGCGCGTGGTGGGTGGCGCGCTCGGTGGGTGGCGCGCTCGGTGGGTGGCGCGCGTGGTGGGTGGCGCGGGTGATGGGTGGCGCGGGTGGTGGGTGGCGCGCGTGGTGGGTGGCGCGGGTGGTGGGTGGCGCGCGTGGTGGGTGGCGCGCGTGGTGGGTGGCGCGCGTGGTGGGTGGCGCGCGTGGTGGGTGGCGCGCCTGGTGGGTGGCGCGCGTGGTGGGTGGCGCGGGTGGTGGGTGGCGCGCGTGGTGGGTGGCGCGCGTGGTGGGTGGCGCGCCTGGTGGGTGGCGCGCCTGGTGGGTGGCGCGCGTGGTGGGTGGCGCGGGTGGTGGGTGGCGCGGGTGGTGGGTGGCGCGCGTGGTGGGTGGCGCGCGTGGTGGGTGGCGCGCGTGGTGGGTGGCGCGCCTGGTGGGTGGCGCGCCTGGTGGGTGGCGCGCGTGGTGGGTGGCGCGGGTGGTGGGTGGCGCGGGTGGTGGGTGGCGCGCGTGGTGGGTGGCGCGGGTGGTGGGTGGCGCGGGTGGTGGGTGGCGCGCGTGGTGGGTGGCGCGCGTGGTGGGTGGCGCGCTCGGTGGGTGGCGCGCGTGGTGGGTGGCACGCTCGGTGGGTGGCACGCTCGGTGGGTGGCACGAGTGGTGGGTGGGACGCGTGGTGAGTTTTGTAACCGGGCGAAGGAGTCGTGCAGGAGACCACGCGCTACTGTCGTGCACAAGCACAAATAACAACAGGAATATCCCATCACATCCGTCAGTAACGGGCTCCGTACCGCCTTACAAAGGACGTTCCGGGCAATGGCTCTTCTACAGAGCACATACTATTCCTCTGCACCGTACTGTACTGTATTTTCCATTCCATTTAAGTCCATGACTACCGACCACTTTAAACTGGGCAAGTGGGTTGGCCAGACAGAGGTACATCCATGGATGATTGAATCCATTGCTGTGGAGTTTTAAGCGTTACGCCCTCGTATGCATCCTAGTTTCTGTTATGCCCCCCACCTCCCCGACACCTTCAGCAATCAGCACTGACCAGGGCGGTGAAGTATGGTCAAATAATCCAGCAGTGGATTGACAAGGTGGGCTGGACACATGCACATTACATACAGGGCCTCGAGGTCTCAACCAAGTAGACACAGTCACACAAAACAGAGCATGCTGCAGACAGCACGCACCCGTCGTTCGCACCCAGAGGGCACAATATCCTCACCACATGAATTTCGATTTAAAGCTTTCGTGACTGCAGGGATTCATCTTATTGGTTCTTTCGGTAAAGTCACGTAGGAAATAATAAAATAATAAAAATGAAACATTATAAAATAATTCTCACGACATTTCGGCCACAACGCAAGCAGCCGTCCTCAGGTGGAGAGCAAGTCTGTCTGCTTGCGTTGTGGCCGAAACGTCGTGAGAATTATTTTATTATATTTTATTTTTATTATTTTATTATTTCCATTCTACGTGACTTTACCGAAAAAACCAAGAAGTATTGGGGTGTGTGGGCAGGAGATCTGGATTTGGGTTGGCAGTGGGGGGAGGGGGCAGAGGATGAGGAGTTGTTCTCGTGGGGGACTGCCCCCCTCGATGATGAACCCCACCTGGCTCCACTTCCATTGCAAAGTGAGCTCCTTTGTGTCGGCTCCGTTCCTGCTGAATCGCGTTCATTGTGGGCAGCCGGGCCCTATTGTTGTCGCTGTTTGCGGATCAAACAGCCGTGAAGCGGTAACTGGGCCGGGCTGTTTGCCAGATTTCGCGGCTGCCAACTTCTCCCCACATTTGTCACATTTCCAGGAAGGTGAATTCGGTGAAAGCGCAGCGGTGGCGATCACGCGGCGCCGAATCTCGAGAGCAGCGCCCGCCGTGCGGTGCAGAGCTTGACACGTGGCTGCTGCTGGCTCCGTGGAGGCCCAACTCAAGATACCCTGGCGTTGTCGCGCCACACCTCCAACTGATTTTGTTAGGTTTTACCAAAGCCAGATTTTTTTTACGCAGATCGTAACAACTAATCTCTTTGGAAATCCTCCGGATGACTTTGTTAAAGGCTGGCAGGCATCGCTTGATATGAACGAATATTTTTGGGTTGTAGGTCGCACATATATTACTTTTGATGATCATCATCAGCCATGGTCAAGACACTGCTGGATGAAGGCCTCCCCAAGTCTCCGTCGATCCCGTGATGGCAGCTGTACAGGCCCAATAACAAGCTCCATAGAGATCAGGGATTGGCTCAGCGTGGACTCACAGACCGAGCGAGTCCAGTGACCCACTTACACGCCTCAAAGTCTGCACCGCGTGCTTAGTTATTATCACAGCCTGCAGTGGGACTAGCCTCGCTGTCAATAAACACGAGTTAATGATTGAATGAATAAACCATTAAAACACACAGACACAAAACACAGACTCCACACGCGCCATACTTGGATACATCTTCAGCCTACACAGCAGACGATCGCGGTGATGTGGTCAGGAACGCCTGGTCGCCTGTCTCTCCAGTGCGGATGTTACACATTGCACCGGGTACTTATTTAAGGCTCAGTCTACTAAAGAGAGGTCCATTGCTAATTCAGCTGTTTAGTAATGTAAGCAGTGGCCCGGAATCTGGCCCAAGTCGCAGCATGCCAAAATAAAGTGGAAGACCGTAGTTGTGTCCGTGGATAAAGTTTGACATTCGATACAGACGCCTGTACCGTGTTTCCAGCTGAATTGAGTTTATTGGGGGTTTTAAGGAGTGGTGAAAACGTTTGCAGACGCCAACTACAACCTGCGATTCATCACTTCACTTTTGACGGAAATGTATTTTTCAGAAACAATAACGAATGAGCACATCTTGTTCTTTCACGTGCAGGTATTTTTGGATTTGAGAGCTGTATTGAATCAAGCGAGCCATCAAGGCACCAATGACTCCACGGCTTCTGTTCATGAGACTTGTCTGACAAATGGTCATGAGCACAATCATCAACTGACACATTTTATAAATCAGTGGCATTGACCGAAAATGTAATATTCCACTGCTTTATTGCTTCTTCAGCAAACATTACACATAAAATGTACACCAACCTAAATGAATGCCAACACAGGTCAACATAATTAGCATTAAAGGAAAAGAGCTAATGCCTTACCATCGGTATGCCCTCGACAGCATCTCTATGTACGCAATAGTTTGACACAAAATAAACCAGATAATATTTTCTAAGTGAGTGAAGTTTAAATGTAATCATTTAATTGTTCAGCAATGTACAGTGATTTAAAAAATAAAACTCTATCAGCTGTAAGAGGTGTAATTTTGGAAAGAACCGACACGTGCTCATGTGCTTTAAACATTATAAACATTGTACAAAAAAATCCCCACACAGAGAGTAGACAACTTATCGGGGCCTGCAGCATTACAATTCGCAAGGTACAAGGTTTCACAGTATAGCGTACTCCTGTAGGCCATAAGCTTGTGTGAGCCAACGGTCCAACACGTATGAGCAAAACAAAATCGACACGCGAGAAATGTCACGCCGATGGGAATTTTAAGAGACAAAAGTGGTGGAATTGTTGCTGGGTACATTCGTGTTCACTGCAAGAGCCATGGGGATACTTGAGCAATTGCCTCTCCTCGGAGCTCGGGGAGTGGCACGCGGTGATAAGGGCATCCCAAAATACTTGCACCGTCGCTCGATACAGGACACACTATTTCCAGAAAGCTTAGGACGGCTTTCCTTTATTAACACACGGAATTTGCCAGCAAAGTTAAGTTCTAAAGTGCATTTTTCAATGAGGGCTTCGGAATTCATACTCTTGGACTTCGCACTATTCGTTGCCTCGTGCTAAGGGGGGCTTCTGTGTTGGCGAAACGTTTGCCTGTCCTGGTTGGTGCAATGGACGTTCGGCATCTACGCGTTTCTGTGGTTGGTGAAAGGAAGCTGCCATTTGGCCTTTCTTTGTCTGAGTCGAATCTTTATTCATCTAAATTAGCGTTTTAGCCAAACAATTATGAACGTGATGTGAATCCATGTATTTAAGTATCAACGAGCGTATGCGTTAAATGAAATATGATTGTTTAAACTAAAATAATAGTTATTGTACAGCATAATGGTGGAGTTAAATGTTGACGTACTATGCTGCAACACTTCTAAAACCAACGAATCTTTATTCATCTAAATTAGCGTTTTAGCCAAACAATTATGAACGTGATGTGAATCCATGTATTTAAGTATCAACGAGCGTATGCGTTAAATGAAATATGATTGTTTAAACTAAAATAATAGTTATTGTACAGCATAATGGTGGAGTTAAATGTTGACGTACTATGCTGCAACACTTCTAAAACCAACGACAG